TTATGATGGGATACAGTATGATAAGAAAAGGTTATAGAATATACAGAGGGTGTTATTAAAAATTAACACCATATTTGAAAATTTTCAAATGTTCTATTTGAAAGCCTTTTTGTTTATTTACAGAACGGCACCTGATTTTCCACGATAGCAGACACTTTCTGATCATGGTCATACTCAAAAGATCCCATTCTTCCTTTACCACTTTCCAGAGCTAATCTTACCTATTTGGACATAATTAAAATATGCAAACAAGATGATATCAACATTTCTAAAAAAGGTATTTATAATATTATTCACGACAAAAATATCAAGTTTTTATTCTAAGCACCTACGGAAAAATGGACAAAAGATTATCACCCCCTATATCTGTGAGAACTCCTGCAACTGTCAAAAAAGTGAAAAAAAAATATATTACAAAAGAAAATCCTATGCCACAAAGAGATATAGCCAAATTAATAGGAACATCAGTGTCAACAATGAATAAAATAATAAATAAAGATTTAGGCCTAAAAGCTACGAAAAAAACATGCGGTTCACAAATTGTTTCAGAGCCATATTCGTCAGCGAAACACTATCAGCAGATATTTTTATGAAAATTTCTTGGCTGCTGATAGATGGAAATTTATTGTTACATATGACGAAGCATGGGTATATTTAACCGATTGCGACAGAAAAAGAGCTATATACTATCAAAAAAGGGTGGAAAAATCAAGGCCAATTTGGTTGAAGGAATGTGCCGAAAGTTACCCCAAAGGATTTATGGTGGCATGCAGTATATCATATGAAGGAAAATTAAAAATAAGAAAAGTTGAAAGAAATGCCAAAATAAACTCGGAGTACTATCAAAACAACATTTTAGAACCTATATTTTTAAATGCTATTCCCTCTATCTATGGAAAACAGAGCAACAAAGTCTGATTTCACCATGATAACGCCACAAGTCATACCTCATCTTCAACCCAAGCTTATTTGGAAGATCTAAGGCAAATAACAGGAATAAACACTATTCCAAAGAACAGAACCTCTGTAAAATCTCCTGATTTAGCCCCGATGGATTTTTGCATTTTTGCATGCCTTAAAAGAGCACTTGGAAAGAGACACCCTAGGACAATTGAAGGTCTCTGGAAAGTGGTAAAGGAAGAATGGGATCTTTTGAGTATGACCATGATCAGAAAGTGTCTGCTATCGTGGAAAATCAGGTGCCGTTCTGTAATTAAACAAAAAGGCTTTCAAATAGAACATTTGAAAAATTTCAAATATGGTGTTCATTTTTAATATTTTATAATAAAACTTGTTTCCTATAAGTGTGAACACCCTCTGTATCTACCAGAAATAGATGAAATTCATGAAGTATCATGTGTAAAATTTAATGAATCTAAACAAGGATATTATTTAATGAATAATAGTGGAAGAAATCTCGATGAAAATGAACTTTTCCTTTTTAGTAGAGAAGACCCTAATTTGATTTCTCACGGGAATGAAGACTCTGGTGGTGAAGTTTATAATGGAGAAGACCAAGTTGAAAACTTTAACATCGATGATGGACATATTCCTCAAGATGATAATGATGTAGATTTGAATGAAATAGAAGAAATACCTCCTGTTGAAATAATTACTCCAGGTAGAAGAGGACCAGAACCAGGAATGACGAGAGAAATGAGAAAAGAACGAGATCTTCGTTTGAGAGAAACCGAGGAAGAAGAACTTATAAAAAAGGGGAATGAGGAGATCTGAAAGATTACGACTAATGAAGAATAAGGAAAATGTTTCCGATAGAACATATGAAATTAAATGTCCGAAAGATTACCAAGAAGCACTGAATTCTGATAATAGAGAACAATGGATTAAAGCCATGGAAGATGAGATGCAAAGGATTACTAAGTTAAAAGTTTGGAAATTAATAGATAAGCCTAAAGATAAAAAAATAATCAAAAGTAAATCTGGGAATTCATGTGGATGATATATTTAGTGTAGGATCTGGTGATAATTATGAGGAAAATATATGGAAACAAATAAAAAGAGAGATTGATATCACGGATTTAGGAGCTGCGAAAAACTTTCTTGGAATGGAATTTGAATATAGGGATGATAGCATTTTTATAAATCAAAAGAAATATATAGAAGGAATATTGGAAGCCTATAATTTGCATGATTGCAATCCTTCGAAAACTCCGTTATGCATTTCTACAAATTATGATTTATTTGAAAATAATAAATCGATTGATCAAAAATACTATCAAAAAATTGTTGGAAAGTTGATTTACATAGCAACTAGAACAAGACCGGACATATGTTATGCAATAAGCAATATGAGTAGATTTAATAAAGATCCTAGAGAGGTTCACATGAATGGATTGAAGAAAATATTAAGATATTTAAAGGGAACTATGAACTATGAATTGATTTACTCTAGGGGAGATTCAAGTATTGTGACATATACTGATGCGAGTTGGGACAGAACAGCTGATGCGAGATCGTATTCTGGTTTTATTATAGAAATGGGAAACAATTTACTTAATTGGAAGAGTAATAAACAAAGATCTGTTGCCTTGTCAACTGCAGAGAGTGAATTAGAAGCCTTATCTGAAGGAATTAAAGAATTAATTTGGACCTGTAACATCATTAGAGAAATGAACATTAATTTGAAAGATCAGATTACTGTTTATTGTGACAGCCAGAATGCCATTTCAATGATTAAGTAAAAAAATATGAAAGCAAGTACGAAGTACTTGAATAGAAAGTGCCACTCCAATAGGCAAATTGTGGAAGATGAAGAAATTGAAGTTTTGCATATCCCCTCAGAAGAAATGAAAGCGGACCATCTCACCAAGACTGTGGATGCTGTCAAGCTTAAGAACTGCATAAGTGGTGGAGTTATTTTCGAAAAATGAAAATTGAAAATTTGAAGGGGAGATTTGTTGATGTTATTTATTTAAAAATAGCGGATGTACCCGGCTTCGCCCGGGGTTTTACCCGAGTAAAGGTTTGTCAAACAACATTTTTTAAAACAATTATCTATAAACTTATAAAAAATAATAGATCTATTTTGATAATTTGAAACTCGTAAATTTGAATCTCTCGATAAAGTGAACATTTTTCCCGGTCCATGTGTGCCGTGTTATCCTGAATTTTGTCTTTCCTAATTTTCTACATTACAAAATCATCGTTTTATCTAGTGAACATTTTTTCCCGGTCCCTTGAAAAATACTCGATAAGTTGAATAAAATCAATATTAATTAGTTCCCTCGGTAATTGGAAGTTAAAGGAATAGTATCTTGCCTTGGAATTGTATCATTTTTCTTGTCTCAAATAAATTGCCGTGTCATCCTGAATTTTGTCTTTCCTAATTTTCTATATTACAAAATCATCATTTTATCTATTCTCCCAATATATATGTTGTAGATAAATGATAAAACTAACTTTGACTTGTGCGCAATTAATAGGTAGAAAATCTTACTTTTAATAAATAATTTTTAAGATAATAAACTCATAGATAAAAAAAACTTGTTATCATCATCGCAATGAGGGCGCTGCTTGCGAGTTAAATCTAGAAATCTGCAAATAACTCTAAGAATATTCATGATATTAAAGATATTATTTATCAAAAACTTTCCCGGGGATATGCCTAATAATATCCCAAAATTTCCCGGCGATTGGATGTATGGTTTTTGAATCTATAGAGTACAGACAGACAGACATTCAATTTTATATATATACTAGCGGACCCGCCCGGCTTCGCCCGGGTTTTACCCGAGTGAATGTTTGTCTAACGAACATTTGTTAAAACAATTCTCTTTAAACTTATAAAACGTACTCGGCTTCGCCCGGGGTTTTACCCGAGTAAAGATTTGTCTAGCGAACATTTGTTAAAACAATTCTCCAAAAACTTATTAAAAAATAAAAAAGATATATTTTGATAATTTGAAACTCGTAAATTTGAATCTCTCGATAAAGTGAACATTTTTTCCCGGTCCCTGTGTGCCTTGTCATCCTGAATTTTGGTATTTGATCATGGTAATTTTGGGAAATTTTTGGCAACTATCGGCGCGGTGAAGGAACCAGGATGCTTCTGCGGAGGTGAAATTCAGGACTCGAAACATCTACTTATGAATTGCCCAATTTTCCGGGTTTATAGAGAAGACAAATTTGGTCGTATTGGACGGCTTGATGAATTTGTAGGCAATAAAGAGAGGTGCAAAAGTTTTGATCAATTTTGCAAATTTATTTACAACTTTCTTTTAAATTGGAAAAGGGAGAGGGAAAATTAGAGGGAAAAGAATTGCGATGCCTGCTTTGTGTGTTTTGCTTTGTTGTTTGTTTTTCTCTTCGGACAATTTTCTTTGTTAATTATGTAAAATAGTGAATTGAACAGGATTGTATATAGCCGATTTGTTGTGATGTAGAGAGAGGTCTCGACGCAAATATCCCTGAGTTTGGGATATCGCGTTTCATGATGTTAATAAAGTTAATAGAATAATAATCCTGAATTTTGTCTTTCCTAATTTTCTACATTAGAAAATCATAGTTTTATCTAGTGAACATTTTTTCCCGGTCCCTTGAGAAATACTCGATAAGTTGAATAAAATCAATATTAATTGGTTCCCTCGGTAATTGGAAGTTAAAGGAATAGTATCTTCGCGTTGGAATTGTATCATTATTCTTGTCGCAAATAAATTGCCGTGTCATCCTGAGATAATCTTACTTTTGATAAATAATATTTAAGATAACAAACTTAGTGATAAGAAAACTTGTTAACATCGTCACAATGGGGGCGCTGCTTGCGAGTTAAATCTACAAATCTGCAAATAACTCTAAGGATATTCAAGATATTCATGAAATTATTTTTTAAAAACCTTCCCGGTGATATACCTAATAATATCCCAAAATTTCACGGCGATTGGATGTATGGTTTTTGAATCTATAGAGTACAGACAGACAGACATTCAATTTTATATATATAAAATAATATAAAAGAGTTTTAAAAATTGTAAAAAAAAAAATGCATCGGCCGGGAATCGAACCCGGGCCGCCCGCGTGGCAGGCGAGCATTCTACCACTGATAAGAAGCCAACAATGAATAGTAAATGTAATATAAAAAGCCAACAATGAAGAATGAATATAAGATAAAAAGCCAACAATGAAGAGTAAATATAATAAAAAGCCAACAATGAAGAATGAATGTAAGATAAAAAGCCAACAATGAAGAGTAAATATAATATAAAAAGCCAACAATGAAGAGTGAATGTGAGATAAAAAGCCAACAATGAAGAGTAAATGTAATATAAAAAGCCAACAGAGTGAATGTAAGATAAAAAGCCAACAATGAAGAGTGAATGTAATATAAAAAGCCAACAATGAAGAATGAATGTAAGATAAAAAGCCAACAATAAAGAGTGAATGTAATATAAAAAGCCAACAATGAAGAATGAATGTAAGATAAAAAGCCAACAATGAAGAGTGAATGTAAGATAAAAAGCCAACAATGAATAGTAAATGTAATATAAAAAGCCAACAATGAAGAATGAATGTAAGATAAAAGCCAACAATGAAGAGTAAATCTATATATATAAAATTGAATGTCTGTTTGTTTGTTTGTTTGTACTCTATAGATTCAAAAACCATACATCCAATCGGCGTGAAATTTTGGGATATTATTAGGTATATCACCAGAAAGGTTTTTGAAAAATAATTTTATGAATATCTTGAATATCCTTAGAGTTATTTGCAGATTTGTAGATTTGAATCGCAAGCAGCGCCCCCATTGTGACGATGTTAACAAGTTTTCTTATCACTAAGTTTGTTATCTTAAATATTATTTATCAAAAGTAAGATTATCTCAGGATGACACGGCAATTTATTTGCGACAAGAATAATGATACAATTCCAAGGCGAAGATACTATTCCTTTAACTTCCAATTACCGAGGGGACCAATTAATATTGATTTTATTCAACTTATCGAGTATTTCTCAAGGGACCGGGAAAAAATGTTCACTAGATAAAACTATGATTTTCTAATGTAGAAAATTAGGAAAGACAAAATTCAGGATGACAAGGCACACAGGGACCGGGAAAATATGTTCACTTTATTGAGAGATTCAAATTTACGAGTTTCAAATTATCAAAATATATATTATCTATTTTTTAATAAGTTTTTAGAGAATTGTTTTAACAAATGTTCGCTAGACAAACCTTTACTCGGGTAAAACCCCGGACGAAGCCGAGTACGTTTTATAAGTTTAAAGAGAATTGTTTTAACAAATGTTCGTTAGACAAACATTCACTCGGGTAAAACCCGGGCGAAGCCGGGCACATCCGCTAGTTTTATATATATAGATATATCAATTTTCATTCTATGATTGAATTAATCTGTGACTTAATTTACTCTGTGGTGTTCAGTGTATATATATACATGTATTTCTTTGAGAGAGAGGTCTTAACGCTCTGGCTTCTCTTCAGTCACGCTCTGGCTTCTCTTCAGTCTATGAATCCTGCCAAGAAGAAAAAGAAGGCCTACAAGCCCATCGTGAACGTCGCCGACCTGGAGAGGGAAGATGAGATGGTGATCTCACGCAACTGCAGCATCCTGAGCTCCATTGGCCATCCTGCCCTGAAATCCCTGCATGAGGACCTGATCCGCTACATCGCCTCGCGGACTGAAATGATCAAGGCCCTCGCTACCGAAGTAGAGAACCTCACTGACACCCTCGAGTCCTTCGCAGAGTTGGACGAAATTGAGGAGGCCAACAAGCCCAAGACTGCTTGCCGCGGCACTCAAACCTGCCCTGCTCCTTCCTGCAAGGAAACCAGCTCCCAGACTGACCCAATCAAGCCCGCCACTCCTGCTCCTGCTGCTCTCCCTGCCAAGAAGCCTGCCTCCACCTTGCCTGCTCCTGCTCCAACCAAAAGGAAGCAGTCTGAAGCTCCCAACCCGCCTGCAAAGAGGACAAACCTGAATGGTCCTTCAAAACCTGTGCCTTCCCACGTCTCCAAGCCTGCGGCCGCCCAAGTGATCCTCCATGGAGAAAAATCGGCGGCCCACACAGTGGTCATCTCAGATGACCCACAGGCTGACCCAAGGGAGATGCTGAAAACAGTCCGCGCTGCTCACACTCTCCCCCAAGGCGTTTGGGCCTCCCTGCGCACCAAGGGGAAGCTGGTCCTCCATTCCAGCCTCCATTCCAGCAATCCTGACACCATCCCTGAGGTTACAACCTCCCTGGCCAACAAGCTGGATGGAATGAGGGTTCGCCAGCAGAAGGAGATCCTGCCGCGAATCTGCCTCTTCAAAGTGGATGAGGAGACATCCAACTCCACCATTGAGGAGACCTTCCTGGAAACCGCTGCTGTTAGAAAGCTTCCTGAGGACAAGGTGGTGCGCGTGGCGCACCGTTCTGCACCCAGAAACGGGACCTGCACCGCCTTCATCGAGGTGGACCTCAAGACCTTTAGAGCCCTGGGCGTTCGCGGGAGGATCGTGGTGGATGGAGTAATCCTCAACTTCGAGGAGTCCATCCGCGCCCGCGTCTGCTTCCGCTGTTGTGGCTTCGGCCACAACTCTGCCCAATGCACCAGAGCTCCTAAGTGCTTCCACTGCGGTGAAGACGGCCATGAAGGCCGCACCTGCCCATCCATTGCTGACCAGCGCACCTCCAAATGTGCCAACTGCTGCTCCCAGGGCCTTCCTGACAAGCACGAGGCGAGAGCTTCAAGCTGCCCCATCCTGAAGTCTAGGGCCCTCAAGTTCTAGGCTTCAAGGACCTTCTGCCTCCAAATCCATCTGCCACTTCTCCTGGATTCCTGGCCTATTCAACGCACCCGCCTCACTGCACCCTGGCGCTATTCCCCTGCTTGCCCAACGTTTCCACCACCCCTGCGAGACATCTCCTGCCGCCAGATCCTAGGATCCCTTGCCACCTGACATCGAGTTTGGGCTCAAAAATCATAACTTTTGGTTAGTAGCCCGTAAATAAAGATATTTTCTTCTTGAGAGAGAGGTCGCAGTGAAGACGGCCATGAAGGCCGCACCTGCCCATCCATTGCTGACCAGCGCACCTCCAAATGTGCCAACGGCTGCTCTAAGGGCCTTCCTGACAAGCACGAGGCGAGAGCCTCAAGCTGCCCCATCCTGAAGTCTAGGGCCCTCAAGTTCTAGGCTTCAAGGACCTTCTGCCTCCAATTCCATCTGCCACTTCTCCTGGATTCCTGGCCTATTCAAGGCACCCGCCTCTCTGCACCCTGGCGCTGTTCCCCTGCTTGCCCAACGTTTCCACCACCCCTGCGAGACATCTCCTGCCGCCAGATCCTAGGGTCCCTTGCCACCTGACATCGAGTTTGGGCTCAAAAATCATAACTTTTGGTTAGTAGCCCGTAAAAAAAAAAAAAAAATATATATATTTTCTCTTGAGAGAGAGGTGTGAGAGAATGTATGTGGAGAGGTTTAGGCATGTGAGCTTATAGATTCATTATAGAAATCAATATTCATTATTTTTGTACCTTCAATAAAGAAGATTTATGTTTTAATAGATAGTAATTATTACGATCCACCCAACAAGAATGATGATGATAAGTTATATATATATCGCAATATCGTTACGAATTCTCTTAATGTGAGTTGATAATTGATTTGATTGTTTTGAGCGCAGTCGTTTTTGAGGGAAGTGGAGCATACAGGGGAAATAAACCAGAATACACTTGATTGGGATTGAAATAAGGCAACTAATCGAAGGAGAGAAGGGCTTGAGAAGGTGGAACGGTTTGACTATTGGCTATTCAATTACATGACGGAATAGTGAACTTATCTGATGGGTTGAGGCGGTGAGAATGACCTCTAGAGTACTAGGTCTTAACTCGGTGGGATCCGGCCGATGACTGCCAATTCTATGTTCTCGATTTAAGAAGAAAACTCTTCTTCCTTCTCATTGGTTGACCTGCGTGACGTGGAAGTTCCCTATAGGCCCTTCACTAATGAGTTACTCCCTGATTGGTCTATGCTACGCCTTTGTCTTTGGACATGTTTTAACCTGACCAGGAAGTGTTAGTTTGTTGAACTCAACTTTTTACGAGTTCCGGGATAATAAAAAACTTTACTAATGATTGTGCTCTCTCTAGGCCTTCTTTCTCTCCAAATTTGTTAAGCCTTGTTCTTTATTGAAATCCAAAGCATACATTATACACATTGGGTCGGGTTTGCATCTAGCTATGTACAAATTATGACAAATGCGCCCCCTACATGTGAAGAATTTCCGAAGGGGTTTTAGCCTGAATAAGTTCTGTGAAGTAAAAGAAAATAATTTTGTGTGAAAATTAATTGGTTATAGGGAGGTTATATGCAAGCATTGATAAGGATATAAGAGATAAAAAAAGGATGGTATTAATGCTATATAGTTTGTTTATAATTAATAGAAATCAAAAATTGTAATGGTGAAACATAAAATGAATACTATGGTACATAGTGAGAAAAAGGAAAAATTGCCTAATTACTATTTTGCTCGAGATTGGGAAAGAAATCGAGGAAATTTCATGAGGTCTTTTGAGAAATCAAAAAATAAAAATAATAAAATAAAGGTTGAGTGAAATCAAAGTGAAGGCGTGGTTTAAAAAAAATTGCCTTGTTGCGTGCTGAGAAAAAAAATTGCTTTGTTGTATTGGTGAAATAAGAAATGAATTGCCTAATTACCATTTTGCTCGAGATTGGGAAAGAAATCGAGGAAATTTCATGAGGTCTTTTGAGAAATCAAAAAAATAAATAAAATAAAGGTTGAGTGAAATCAAAGTGAAGGCGTGGTTGAAAAAAAAAGGAAAAATGAAAAAGCCTTGTTGTATGAAAAAAAAAAGGAAAAATGGAAAAGGTTTTTTGTAAAATATAGGATGACTTAATATCTAAATTTAACCGAAAACCAATGAGTTTTCATTGAAAAATGGAAATATGACACAATAAAAGAAGTGGTAAATAAAATGGTAAATAATTGCAAAATAAGTGGTAAGAAATTGAATAAAATTGATAAATTGGGTTAAATGTTTTGATTTTAATTTTAGAAAATAATGTATATGATTGATACATAACAAAGAAAATGTAT